AGCTTCCAAGTATATCCATTTTCAGCATGGATATGCTGCAAATCACAATTGACTTGCAGTTTCATCAGAAATATATTCAAAGGTATCTGTGGTTATTCCAGTGCAATGTGTTTTTGCACAGAGGTTCTGCAGTAATTAATTTCTAAATCTGAAAGTACTCATTGTTTTGACATGCAGATATTTCCAAAGATGAAGGCCACAACCTGTCTCCAGGAATACTGTTCATAACAGGACAGGTGAGACACAACTGCTTGGAAATCCATTTCAAACTTGTGGTTCCTGTAATATTTTGTTTCTTGCACCACAGTGACCCATTTAATTTGACAGAACATCTTTGCAATTTTTTAGAATTAGATAGTTTATCATCTTGCTCTGAGTACCAAGGTACTGCCTTTTGGTGAGCATGTTGCTATGTAAAGAGAATGTACATGCAAATTTTCCAAGACAAACCAATGCACACATAGGAGAACAACTGGGATCAGATTGTACTCTGAACAGTCATAAATTTGTTCAAGTAATTGAACAAAATGTAGATACATTTTTGATATATCTGTGTTCTTGGGAGGCAGGGAAGGGGGAAAAGTGAATAATATTTTTAAAAAGAAAAGAATCTGATAACAACAAACTTGGATACCTGATCTATAATATAGTCAGAAAGCTCTTCTGTGGCTTACTACATATTCCTTCCATTACAAAAATTGCTGTAAAGAGTGAAGCAAAATGTTCCTGATCACACTTAATTGGTCTCAAGAGCATGAGAGCCTACCTGTTCAGAACTGTGGCAAGCTCTGAACCTCGGTCTGCATGATTTGAAAGAAAAATGTTAGTCTGATATTTTTGCCAACTCCTAGATCCTGATAATAAATTCTGTCATCTACGGAATGAAGTGGACGAAGCTTGGATACTGACGTCTTGAAGATTATGAACAGCATTTGAATGGATATTGTAAAGTTCCTAAGTTCATCTGTTCATTAAGACCCTATGGGGTCTTGGGACTCATGCCTTAACAAGACAGATTTATGCAAACTTGCATATACTTGATTCTAAAAGAGAAGACTTGAAGACATCTGTTTTCAGAGGTTAATTACTCTCCTCACTTCTCTGATACTCTATCGATTATTCTCATATAGTTCAAAGTGAGTTCAGAATTTGATAAAGCCCAATGGTGTTTTTCACCTTTCATATTTCTGCAGCTATGATGGCAAACAAAAAAGTATTTGTGCCCATTCAGTGGAGATTTTCCATTATGCTCAGTGAAGACAGTGGTACTATGTACTCATCCTACCTTTAATGTACTAGTTCAACCTGATATTTTCATAGAATATCCTGAGCTGGAAGGGACCCACAAGAATCATCAAGTCCAACTCCTGGCCCTGCACAGGACACCCCATCAATCCCACCCATTTCCTGAGAGCGTTGCCCAAATGCTTCTTGAGCTCTGGCAGCCTTGGGGCTGTAACCACTTCCCTGGGGAGCCTGTTCAGTGCCTGACCACCCTCTGTGTGAAGAACCTTTTCCTGATATCCAACCTAAACCTCCCCATACACAGTTCGAGCTGTTCCCTTAGGTCCTGTCATTGGTCACCAGAGAGCAGAGCTCAGTGTCTGCATCTCTGCTGCCCCTTGGGAGGAAGCTGCAGACCCTGGTGAGGTTTTCCTTCAATCTCTTCTTCTCCAGGCTGAACGAGCCAAGTGACCTCAGATGCTCCTCATATGGCTTCCCCTCAGGCCCTTCACCATCCTTGTGCCCTCCTTTGGACACTCTCCAATAGCGTAATGTCTTCCTTATACTGTGATGCCCAAAACTGCCCCCAGTAGTCAAGGTGAGGCCACACCAGTGCAGGGCGGGACAATCCCCCTCCCTTGACTGGCTCGTGGTGCTGTGCCTGATGTACTCGAGGACATGGTTGGCCCGCCTGGCTGCCAGGGCACTGCTGATTCATGTTCAACTGGCCATCAACCAGGACCCTCAGGTCCGTTCCCGCAGCTGCTCTCCAGGCCTCTCATTCCCCAGTCTGTCCATACACCCAGGGTTGTCCCATCCCAGGTGCAGAATCCAGCATTTGCCCTTGTTGAACTTCATATGGTTGATGATTGCCCAGCTCCTTCATTTGTCTGGGTCTCTCTGCAGGGCCTCTCTGCCTTCAAGGGAGTCAATAAGTCCTCCCAGTTTTGTGTTGTCTGCAAACTTGCTTCTTTTTGTATACTTGGGTCAGCTTTTTTGTCCTAGGTCCAGAACCCTCATAGAGGCAAAACTGTCATTATTAAGTCTAGTTTTGAGGACCACCCTCAAGATGCACTGGAAATATCAAGAAATCTGTGAATAATCTGTAACTCCATCTGCAATCACCTTGACATTTAGTAAAAGAAGACATTAAAGGCACCCCTTTCTTCTCAGATAAGATATCAACAGCTTGTGGTTATAACTTATTAAACATCAGTACCGAGTTGTCAAGAGAAGCAAAGAAGTTGCTCTGTATTTAGAGAGAATGTGACAAATTATGATGCAATCATCTATTTATATGTTCTCAACTTACAATTGGACATTTTGGATGATGGTGAACATTTTGAGCTCATGGAAGTTCAAGAGAGAAAATTTGTCATACTTGAATTGTTTTGGTTGTTTAATCTTAGAGCCCTCAGCGTGAGGACTCTGAAAGGTGAGTTGTCATTGATCTAGCTACACCAGTTTAAGGCATCACATCTTACCATTTGCCTTGCTCCTATAGTAGGGGTAGCAGAAGAAAACCTTTGCTTGGTTCTTAGCTGGCTTGTTCAGTCTGGTTAGGTTAATGCTAGTGTCTTCACTAGTGCTGTAATCTGATGCACTAGACAATGAAACACACTTGTACAAATGTGAATGTGTGTTCCCTTCTGCTACAGGTGATAACCTCAGTTAAAGGGACAGGGATAACTGGTAACAGTAATGTCTTAAAATCTAGATCCACCATCAGAGCTTTATGGGACTTTTTCAGTGTGACTGACATTTCTGTATTAAAATGAAAAAGCTGACTGACTTTTTCATAAGAACGCAAGTTTCTCAATTTGTGTTTCAAAATTTCAACAGTTTTAATTGAGAAATAAGGTAGTGATGTGTGTGTATGTATGTATATTAATATATATGTTTTGGTTTTTTTTAAATAATCAAATTTGAAACCTCTCAGTTTGGAAGCTTCTACTTCATGGTCATTCCTAAGACCTGCTATGAAGCTCAGTCAGGTCAAAGCCCTCTTAGTCACAGGGAGAAAAATATTTTTTGTCATTGTATGAAAGTTCAAAAAAACCCCACATTTGTTTTAATAAGTAGTGTAAGGAAGTTAATCTATATAAGCTCTCATATGAATCCAACAGTTTTTGTTGTTGTTGGACAGAAAAAGGAAAAACCGCCATGCTAAAAAGCTGCACTTTCAATTAATCAAATTTATTTTGGTTCACATGTCTATCATAAAGTTGGCAAGTGTTCCTACTTTGAAAAGCTCCTTATTTGCAGTTGACCTGTTTCTGTGTGGAGTTTATTGTATTTGTCTTTACTGTCTTTCAGACATTAAATGTTATACATAATTTTGGAGTTTTAGGAAGTTAGAGATATACAAATAGATTTGAGAATTAAAATGACAGAAAAAACCCACAAACCTGTTTACATCACTGGAGTTGGCTATCTTACTACTTGTTACTGTGTTCTAATGTTAAGTTTGGAGATGATCCTTAAAAATTTTAATTCTTCTGAATCAGAATCTTCTACAAGTATAGAGGAAATTAGAAGTCATAGTTATAATTCTGGTTTACAATTTGAGAGGTTGGGGATATTTTTGTTAAGAGTTTAATTCCTTCTTCCTTGATTGCATCCTCCTTACTTTTCCCCTGCTCCCAAAAGGAGAGCTGGTTCATGGCATTTGGTGAAAAGGCACCATAAATCTAAGCACAAAATAAGTTATTTTTCTTATATTGTATTTGAGGTCTAGACATTTTGATAGAATTTTCAACCTGTCTTTGGTCATTACTTAGACTTAAAATTATATTCTCTGACTACAGAGAAAATATTTTATTGATAAACTACAAAATGAGAATATAAGCCTTAGTGCAGGTAGGGCTTTTGAGTTTCATGGTAGAAATTAATTTAAGTTTAGAGTATCATGTTGGTAATATAAATAGGTTGTGTTTTAAATGAATAGATATTTTCATGTGCTTCTCATTTCTGTGAATTCTACCAAATTACAGGAGGGTAGGTACTTGGCTCACTTTCTATTTTTCTGTATTCTACTTTTAATGATTTTTTTTTTTAATGTAAACTGAAAGGATTATTGTAGAGTCAAGTTCTTGACACTACCTACAATTATCACTGAATTTTTTATTTCATCCATGAAAAGCATTATGGTTGCAAGGGGAAAATACTGAAGCTTTTAAGTGTGTAGTGGCCCCCCCACTTATTCATATGTGCTGTGGTACAGACTCCAACTCTTGGTATACTCCTTGTTTCAAAGAGAAGCATGGAGTGTTGGACTTATTTTAATAATTTTTGTTCATGTGTTCCCTGGCTACAATATATGCAAAACCCAACTGAATCAAGCAGGGAGAAGCTCTGTCTCCTAATCATTGCAGATCCTTGCATAGTTCATGTATAATGAACCAGGCTTAATCTGCAAAGGAGAATCTTTTATAGTAGCATTCCTCAAAACTTGCTTCAACTGTAAATGATATTTTTGGCCATTATTGCAGCTTCTTTATTAGATGGTTCTCTTGGGAATTGTACAGGAATTTATTTAATATGTTTTGAAGATGTTTTTTAATGATTAATTGACACGTGGTAGATTGATAACGAACACATTGAAAAGTATTAGAGAAGTTCTATTATTGCTTTTAAATTCACTGAGTTTTGTTGTTTGTGTGCACATACATGTGGAGGAGGATTAATTGGTGGGAGTGGAGGGGAATGGACATTTTTGCTTGGACATTTGCCTCTTTCTAATATATAGCATTTGTGATTTTTCTCTTAATTTGTAGATAAGCCTCTGAAGAAGCGAAAACAAGAAAACAAACCACAGGAGGTTGGAGGTGCTACTGGAGGAAATAGAGCAGCTTCTCAGGAGACAGGTTCTGCAGGGAATGGGGCAAGGCCAGCGCTGATGGTTAGTATTGATCTGCAGCAAGCAGGAAGAGCAGACTCTCAGGCAACAGTAACTCAGGATTTGGACACCATCAAAAAACCTGAAGAAATTAAGCAGTATAATGATGTGTTTGTGTGTGTTCCCCAAGAGGACACTGTTGGAGTTCTTAAATTTAAACCTGAAAACCATCCTGAGATTTTTAGGAAAATGTCAGACCTTGGGGTTCAAAAGACAGATATCCAGCAAAATGAAAACAGACAAATGGAATTTCAGCAAAATGTGAGCAGGCAGTTGGAAAGTAAACAGAATGAGAAGAAACAGGTAGAAGCTAAACATGAAAGCAAGCATGAAAGCAGACAAATGGAAGTGAAACAAAATGAGAACAGACAAACAGAATCAAAACAAAACCAGAGCAGGCAAATGGAGATGAAACAAAATGAGGGAAAACAAAATAATGGCAAACAGGAAATAAGGCAGAGGCCTGAAACACCGAAACAGAAGAATGAAGGCAGGCCTGAAATGCCAAAACATAGACATGATATCAGAAGGGACTCAAGTAAACCATTATCAGATAAGAAAATAGAAATATCTAGGCATAAAATAGATGTGAAATCTGATCCTTCAAGGATAAAATCTGAAAGTAGACCCGATCCAACAAAACTGAGACCTGATGGGCACTCAGTTTCTGATACACCAAGGCGTGACCGTGATAGCCTCAAACAAAGATCAGAGGACAGGGAGGAGTCAGAGAGATACAGAGGAGATCCATCCAAGATCAGAAGACCTGAATATTTGAGATCCTCAAACAAAAATGAACATGATTCTAAACATGGTATTAAATCTGATGGTTCAAAACCTGAGAAATTTGCAAGGAAACATAGACATGAGTCTGGTGAATCAAGGGAAAGGTTTTCTTCTGGGGATCAGAAAGCAAGACCTGACAGCCCTCGCATTAAACAAGAAGGTAGAGGAGATTCTAATAAATCAAGACCTGATAAACCTGGCTTTAAATCACAAAACAGCAAGGATGAACAAAGGACAGATGGTAATAAGAGTAAAGTAAATAGTAATAAAGCACATGCTGACAGTAAAGCAGAGTTTCCCAGTTATTTGTTGGGGGCAAGATCTGGCGCATTGAAACATTTTGTCATTCCAAAAATCAAGCGTGATAAAGATGTCAATGTCACTCAGGAATCAAGGAAAACTGAATTTAAAGGTGAACAGGACAAAGTAGAGAAGATTGGGCTAGTTGAAGATCTAAATAAAGGAGCTAAGCCTATAGTTGTCCTTCAAAAACTCTCACTGGATGATGTGCAGAAATTTATTAAGGATAGAGAAGATAAATCAAGGGGCTCTTGTTTTAAACCTAGCAAGAACAAGTCATCAAAATCTAATAAAGGTAAGTTGTCTTTTTTTATGTTAATTGCATTATATCTTGTATATGCCTTTTCTTTTAGATTTGCTACTCCTATGGTTAGAAATTAAACACAAATGTTTGATAGTTTATACTCTTGCTTATATGGTGATTTTGGGAAACAAAGTGAAATTTATCTATGGGATTGTGGTTATTGGAAATCTTGTTACACTAACTAAAATAATTTGTTTATTCCAATGCAAGTTCCTAATGTGGGAACACTTAAATAGTCTTAAAATGTACTTCAGTTACATGAGTTTAATCTGGTAATTTATCTAGTTAAACATAACTATGATATGAATGATTAGGTGTGTCTGTATAAAGGAATGGTACTTCTGTAACTAAATTGATGTAGCTGAAGTGTTATGAAATACAATGTATACAAGCCCTAAGATTCCTTTATGTTTTTATTTGGAAATGAAATGTGTTTTTTCTAAGGGATATTTTTACATTATGAGATAAGAAGGCAGTTACAAAGCCCCATCTGCCTCTTATACTATAAATACAGCTCTGTTGGGAAGCCTCCATACTTTAGGCTGTGTGACAATAAGATTATTAAAAAGTTCTATCTTTAGGAGAATTCAGATAGTGTTGTCTCTTATGGTCTAGTGTATGCAGAAGGAGGAAAGAAATGTAAACAGTAGACTGGCATTATCAAATTAGTCATATAAACAGGAATTTATTCATAACAGATCATAGGTTTGATATTTGATTGTCTCTTCTGCAGATTTAATGCTTTTTTATTCTTGGTGCTATAATTTTAGTTTATTTGGTTTCAGACTGAAGTAGATAATTTCACATTGTGAAATCAATGTTGCTAACTGGTCAGGGTTCTTTTTTATTGTTGAGCATTTAGAGCATTTAGATTTCTTATGTAGTTATGTTTCTAGAGCTGTCGTGTCTCAAAAATAGGCAGATAAAGTGTCAGAGGAGAGGATTTTAACTGTATACAGGATTATTTATGAATGCAGTTCCGGGTATATCATTGCTCATTAATTTGAAAATAAAATGTTTTCTTACAACGTTTATCTGATAAGAACTGATTTAGAAATCTTTGTGAATGTATAGCTAAGTTTATGTGCATGTGTACTGAGTTGATATTGGTATGATGAGTTTATTTTGCTATGTCTGGTCTCTACTAACTTGATTGTATTGACCCTTAAAGGCTTAACAATTCAGCATGAGTATTGCTTATTTGTAAAATGTTAGCCTTCTTGTTAAATATTTTCTCTTTATCCTGGAAATATGAACATTTCCACTATCCCTTTTTGATATTCAGAACAGGCAAAGTTTCCAGTTCTAACAATGTTAGGTATCTAGAGTCAGACAGAAAAATTTGACATCCTTGTTGTCAGCTTAGTCTAAAGATTTCAGATTAAAGTTTTATGTTCATTATAAGGCATATGGAAAACTTTCTGATGGAGTTCAGCTCCTATGGATAGACTTTGAAATCACACAATTCTATGTGCAGAAAACTGGTAAATATAGAGCCCTCAGAGCTATATGCAGTGTATGTATCCTTTCTAAAATGTTTCTGAAGTAGGCTTTTTTTGTAGTCTGTATTGTATGTGGTTATTTATATAGTATATTTTAGTAATGCCTAAAGGTTTTATTGACTAATCCAGTTGGCATGACTCTACTAGCAGTGTCACACATGAGCAATGCATTCATTTTAAATTCAGGTTTATAGCTTTTCTGCAGTGTTTTTGTGTATTTTGTGTTTTATGAAGTCATATATTTCTTACATATTTTGAAATAACTTTGGACATAGTTTCCAGGGGAAAAAAAGTTTTATATCAGTCTCTTTGCTATTATATCTAGATATTCTAGATATTCTATATTCTTACAATGATACTAGAAATAAGTTTCATGGAAAGGATAACTGTTTCTCTTACAAATCAAGTTTTGAGTGTTCATCCATGCAGATTTTGGAGAAAGTGTCTGAACTTCAGATTTTTCATGTGTATTTTTAGTTTTACATTTTTTTGCCCAACTTTCTGGTAGCCTACTTTCTAGGATATAATTAAGCGAATTCCAGTGTTCATAATTTAGGGTTTATAATTCATAAAGATATCTCTTGATAAGCCAAGGTCTATTTGTCAGTAACTGATATAGAACATAAAATATTCATGTCATTTCCACAATGTCCTCACTCTAATTGAGAGAAACAGCATCCAGTTTTATTCCATGCCATTTTTACTTATAACTGTTTTACTACACTAGAAGATCTAATTTTCATAAACATTCTTTATTTAGTTCATCATATATTTCTTAATAGTTTTTAGCAAATCTTTTCTAGGGTTGCCTTTTTGCATCATTATTCCATTTCTTCTTGCATCCCTCCTATTCCATGTAGCTTAGTATATTTTACTTTCTCTTTCCTTCACCTCCATGTATTTCTTGTCCTTTGTTTCTCCTTTCTCATCCTTCCCCAAGGAAATGTGTTCTCCTGGCTTTGTCACATAGAACATCATTGCTGTGATTTATCTGAAATCCAGTTTAAACTAAGATTAGTTCAGATAGTTCAAAAACCATTTAGATAGTTATTCTGTCTTAAGGGACTATTGCCCATTGATTATAAAACTCAGTAAAATCAACTTATTTTAAGCTGAAATTAATGCTACATATACTGAAAGTGTATATAACTTGTTACATTTTTTCAGCAAAGTTTAAATTTTAAAATCATCCTGTTATTGTGCACATGGATAAGCCTTGCATTCTACTGTAAAAAAAAAAAAAAAACAAGTAGCATTTTAAGCAAATTTTATATACAGGTTTGAAAGTTTGTTAGGCTATTAGATGACTGGGAAAACTGTAGTATGTGATTGTTAAGACTGAACCATCCCAACAGTCCCTTTTGGCATTTGCAAGAAAGAAGCAACATTTTTTACTCTCTCCTGGTCTTTGAACATTTTTCTGAAAGATGCACTCTAGCTCAGAAGAAATTTATAGAAGTTTTTTCACAGTACTTTTGTTAAGGGGTCTTATGCTGAATTTTTATGGCCTGTTTTTGCAGGTCAGAATGAATTACAGCACTTTTTTTTTTGCTTCCAGTTTTAACATCTGTGAATGCCTTTTATCCTGGTTTTAATGTAAATGTATGTTGTTGAGGAATGCATTAAACTTCTCCCTTCAAGTTTGTGCGTGCAATTAAGAGGTCATGTTTTCTATGCTTTCATTTCAGAGCTTCAACAAATACCTTGTCTGCTGCTTATAGTTATACTGATCAACTATCTTGAGATTAAATATGTTACCAGTTTTACACTTCATAAGATCATTTAGGTTAGAAAAGGCCTCTAAGATTATCAAGTCCAAACATTAACCCATCACTGCCAGGTCCACCACTAAACCATCTCCTCAAGATCTACATCTACATGTCTTTTAAATGCCTCCAGGGATGGTGACTCTACCACTGCCCTGAGGAGCCTTTTCCAGGGCTTGATAGCACCTGTCCAACCCATGGGCTGCCAGCTTTTCCAGGAAAATGCTGTGGGAGACAGTGTCAAGGCTTTACTAAGGTCTGGGTAGACACATCCACAGAGAATGAGAGAAAAATTTGTGTGGTAAGGAGATGTCTGAGTTGGCTTATAATATATTTAAAGGATTAACTTTCTAAAATAAGCACTACATATGTAGTTGCATATTTTAGTTCTAGGACAAATGAGTGTGTGTTTTCAAGAATTGTGCAGAAACACCTTTTGAGTCTTCAAATATTACCTGAAAAGGCTTCATTATTTTAAAAACAAAAGTTATCATTTCACTGCAGAATATAATGCTGAATGCTACTTCTTCTTTATGTAGATTGTTATTCTAGGATTTCATTATCTGTACAGTGCAGTACTTTAAACACAGGTTTTCATTGATCACTACAAGTCTCTGTGCTCTCTGCTGCAATAATCTAAAATATGAGTGAAGATTTGCCATTTCTTCAAAGGTCCTCTTCATATTTTTACAAGTGCAGCTAAAAAATTTACTGCTGCTTAATCATCTTTATGTCACAGGGTTGAAACAATACATTTAGATATTTCTGTGCTCTATGCTTGTTTGGGTTTTTTTAGTTCCAGATTACTTTTTCAGAGCCTATAATAACTATAATTTGTAGTCAGTGGCAGGCTGTAGCAGTGCAAAGTTCCATGGTATTTGTGTAATGTGATGGTCCATCTTTGAGTTCTAGTACTGCTGAAAAGTCTCACTTGTGAAGCAGATTAACTAGTTAGGCCTCATCTTTTAGGTAGAAGTGACAAGATAGGCTCAGTGAGCAAACTTCTGATGCTTCTTACAGTCCTCTGGACAGCACAGCTGAGCTACTCACCAATACCTTTTGGTGCAGCTGAAAACTAGACAAAAAATGAGTGTAAATAAATTTTAAACATTTGCTTAAATCCTTCATGTATAGGACTTCTACAAAGACAAAATTGACAAAACTTTGAGAAAAATATCTTATGGATATTAACTCATCAAGAAAACTTTAGAGTTCAACTCAAATTTATTTCCAAAATAACTATGTCTTGATGCTTAAAGAGGCATACTGTTGTACTTACTGAAATCAGTGGGGCAAGCAGCTATGCTGCTAGGAAATAACTGGAATAAAAGCATATTTCCTGGAACTCAGATTGCTTACTACAGATTGTCCTTTTGTAAAGATAACCATTGGGAACGTCCTAATTCCACAAATGTGAAATTTGGAATCGCTCTTAGAGTTCCTGGTAGCAACTGAATTTGCATTTGGGAGGGCCAGAAGAATAACTCACTGGGCATTTTGCATGTGCATATACTACCACATGGATCAAGCATGTTAAAACTTTCTCTGAAGTTCTCTAGTAAATTATGCCACATTTCAGAGAAGTAAAGGATATATTTAGTGGTTTACAGCTGAAGTCTTTAAAGCTTCCCTTAAACTTTAAATTTAACTGAATTTGTAGAATAAACATCACTTTCATGAGAATTATACAATTTTCCTGATTTTCCTCTTTTCTGAGGAATTG